ATCCTCAAACAGGCACTTCATCATGCCCGGCTGGCAGGGGCTGCTTTTGGTTTCGTTGGTGCCGTTTCTTGACTCCCCACCATGCCAGCCCATCATGGGGGTCAAACCGATGATGATGGATAAAATCCAGCATATGGCAATGATGCCTCGAGCCCGCTGTCCTGTCACCAAGCTGTTGTACCTGGACAGGGAGACAATACACGTGTCAAGCTTCAATTGTCTTTCAGCTCCTGAGAACTCAGAGATAAAGGTTTGTTTCCCTCTGCCACAATGACCTCTATAAACCTCATAAGAAAGCTTCCGTCCCTTGTTTGAATTAATTATTACTGTATACGAAAGTACCCCGCTGATTTATCATTTGCTTATGCGATCGTTCCGTGGAAGCAACTCTCATACCGGAACTACAAGAGACAAGAATAAACAAACTGAGTCTTTCAGGACTCAGGACTCCTCAAAGGAAGGAGCCTATTTTTGGTTCGCCTGTAGCACAGTGTGGGAGAGCAGCTGAGACATTTGGCTTGTTTCTATCACATTCTTCAGATGTTAAAGTGCAAAGGTTAATACTGCAAAAACACCCCCCCCCCCCCCCCCCCCCCTCTTTAGGGATGTACAAACACAACGCAGAAGAGCCCTCACATACGTATGTTCAGCAGGAGGAGTGTGTTCGAGCCCTAAAGGGCGAGACGTCTGACCGGCGCAGCAGTGCGGTAACGATGAGGTCACAGCATCACTGTCACTGTCAGGTCTGCAGATGCACCGTCGTTGGCAAATTTGCATGTTAAATCAACATCTCACTGGGTTTGGAGCTTTTTTGTTGTTATTTTTACATTACAATAATAAAAGTAAGTTTACAAAACAGGCTTACACAGTCTGTGTAAGCAATTAGAGCGATATTTGTTTGATTGCTCCGGGGGGAATTTGCCCTGTGGGAGACGCTGTTTCTGAACAGTCTTATTCAGCCATGGAATATCTGGTTCAAATGTCAAATGTTTTAACCAACAGAAATGAAATGAAACGTTGGGCGTCATCGTGAGAATTCTACTGCTTCTGATTAAAAACACACATTGGACTAAAGTAAGAATTAATTAAGAGTTAAAACGTTCCTATTTTGTTTTCCAAATCTGATCTTCGTTTCTTTCTGTGCTTGGACATGTTGAAAAAATGGTTTTTAAGTAGTAATCAGCTGTTTTACTAATGCTAATCAACTGTTTATTGGTGCCTTATTAACACACGTAATAATGCAGTTATAAAGGATTTCACTTATTCTATTAACTCATTAATTTTGCACCAATAAATGATAAATGATCCACTTTTCCTCATGGTTACTGACCTGAGTGGTATCTTGATTGCAATGTAGCGATCTATAGCGATGGCCAGCAGACTAAAGATGGAGCTCTGTGTGAGAACCAGCACAAAGCACGCAATAAACAGGCAGCCATAGAAGTTGGAGCAGAACCCGATGCTGATGACAATGGCAAAGGGAATGGCCAGGACGCCCACGGCGATGTCGGCCACAGCCAGCGACACCACGAAGAAGTTGGTGATGCTCTGGAGGTTACTGTTGAGGGCCACGGCCCAGCAGACCAACACATTTCCCAGCACTGAGAAGATGGCAATCAGCAGCTCCAGGGTGATGTAGAAAAATTTGTCCCGCATGATGAGGCAAACAGCGAAGAGGTCACTAATGCGGGGGGAGGAAATCTCACCTCAACGTCCATAGCTGCAGCCTAGCAGCTGCTGAACTCAGCCTTGTCACCTCCAGAGAAACAGCCACTAGATTCCACAAAACAGTGACTCCTTCACACCTGCTCAGCTTAAAATACTGAAAAAGAAAAATGAATCACATGGAGCTATCATCACTCCGCATGCAGGGTGCAGTCACCTCCATTCTGTCCTCATAAAAAAGCTCTTCTGCTGTCCTCTCCCCTCAGCTCCTTCCCCTCGGCGTCCTTTTCCCACGAGCTCCTTGAAAGGCTGAGATGATGCCAGCAACAGACATCACAGTGACATCGCTCTGTTGGAAATAAAAAAAAAAAGGTGCAAAAGTGAAAAAGAAGAAATGCTCCTACAGTAGAGGAAGTGAATATGGGACTTTGTATTAGGTATAAAGCGAGGCACCCTGTTTGCATTTGAAAGATCTACAAACACAATACAGGTTCCTTCTTATCAGTTATGAAGTACACTTATATGGGCGTTATAGGGTACACTTATATATAGTCACAATATTTCCAGAAGCATCAGCAGCTTTAATAAAACCACAGACACCTTTCATAAAGCCACATTACACTGCAAAAAAAAAGAAGCAATGTCACTGTTCGGTTGTGTGAGACTTTTAGTTGCTGATGCCTCCTATAAACAGTCTTTCTGACCCTGCAAAAGGGCAGTGGGAGAGCAACTTGTGTAGCCTCCATCAGCACGAGCATGCACGGCTCCACGTTGTAGCAAACTGCTGTCAAAATGCAGTTTGAATCATTTATACTGTGCTAAAATCCGATGTTATACTACAATACTGCAACATAATTCAGATTTGCTCTGACAAGCACAGACTTGTGACAGTTTCTGATGTTTAAGTTCAGACACTCAATTTAGAAGTTTATATCCATTATGTTTTGTTTAGACTTTGATTGTCGTGGATTTGCGATGTGATTTCCAGCATTTGTGTAGCCAAGAACAGCAGACCTTGACTCCTGTGGTAGATAAAGATTTTCAACTAGTAAAAAAAACAGGGAAAAATAAGAAATGCGATCTTATCTTGTGATAATTCAAGAGAAATGGGCACTGAACTCAACGTGAACCTGTTTTATGGATTACTTCTGCAACAGTTGTGATCACATACAATAGAAAGTTCAGAGGTGTGACGCTGCATTGGCCTTAAGCCTGCTATCGTCTGAGGCACGTCCATGCAGCAGCTTATTTTGAAAATGTACATTAATATTACAGTAAAAATCACCTTTCACAGTTATAACAGTTAACTATGACCTTAACATAACTGTAGATGGTCAACTAAAAGGCTGGCTGTACTAAACTGCAAAGCCTCAATTCTACAAAGTATGTGAACATGTTAGTGTTGATTCCAGAAGCTGCGCTGTACACAGTGTAAATGCTACATGCTGGTAAATGTAGCTGTTAGATATTTACTGTTATTATTTGTTACAGCAGGTTCAGGACAAAAGGTTCTGCTACAGTGAAAATCCTGTGTGTCCAGTTTTATAATGCATGCTGTACAGTATTATATGACGGCTAAAATGCGATTCTCTCAGTTCTGTGAGCGCTAAAACTAAAACGAAACATTGTGACCACAGGAAGTGCGCATTGAGAGATGAGTCACACTCAGAGTATCGTAGTGGGTTTTGTAGCTGCTGTCTTTCAGGCAATTCAAAACAGATAAGACCAAAGATAAGTAAATAAATGTATTACTTGTGCTTTTATTGAAAAGCACAAGTGTGTGAATGTGAGAGTGAATGAATAGTGGAATTGTACAGCGCTTTGAGGTTCTCGAAAAGCTCTATATAAATGCAATCCATTATTATTATTATTAATAATATTATACGTGATTATATGACTATATGTGTATAAATGATCAATTCTTTGTTAGCAATTTTTCCAAATATGATTAAAAAGTAATATTTCAATATTAGGTTTGTTTTTACCAACCCAGGCAGCTATCTTCATTGACATAATGGTTTCCCTAGCCCCTTACCCTAAACCTAACCAGAACCTAATTGTAACCCTGACCCTAAAGCCACATTTTGAGCCTCAAAAAGGCCTTCAAACTTGTGAGGACCGGTATGTGTGTTCTCACAAGTGACTGTTGGTTCTCACAAGTATAGTAGAATGCAGATTTTGGTCCTCACAAGGATAGCTAGACAGGAATACACACACACACAAACAAAAGAGGGAAAAAAACAGAAGAAAAGAAGAAGAAAAAGTTAAGCTTCGTACTTGAAAAGATTTCCCTATTTTGCAAAATATCATTAGGATGCAACAAAAGGTAAAATAATGATAAAACGGGAAGATGAACAGGGAACAGAAATAACCAACAAAGGAAAGGAACACATGTAATGTAATCTGATCTTGAAACTACCAATTCCTTATTTTGGAATTTAGAAATTTCTTTGAAAAACAAATATCGTTTTTGACCCCAGAAATGACTTCTAATGATCAAATAGGACTAAAGTCTTAATGCTGAGTACAATGTATTTGTAGATAGCAGATGGCTTTTTTGGTTCAAGTCACATTAAATGATGCAATACAGTGAATCAAAGGGCTTTTTGTGCCATAAAGGAATTTATTTTCAAAAGCTCTGTTTTTAAAGGTAAAATATTTTATACTCACAAAATCTCTCATTGACCTCATCTGAGGTGGGAATGATATGATCTGAATTTTGAGAAAAAAGACTTAAACAAATAACAAAAAGGTGGATAAAACCGAACTCCAATCAAAGAAAATTAAACCTTTTACAAGAAACAGACAAAATGATCCAAAAGAGAATAAGCGTGATGATGGAAAATGGTAAATTCATATTTAAAATCTTCTTTTCTATAAGTTTAAATGGGTGGAAACACATTAGTATGGAACTGTGTCTGCAAGCGTGTTGGTAAAGTGTTGCGTTTAATGCATTTAAACATGAGTTTATAGCATGTTTTTCTCTTTTCCGTGACTTGCAGTTTTGGATAGAGTTAAGTTTTGCTGTCAACAGGATAAGGAAGCTGTCAAAAAAGAAGTACGCTTCATACGAGCAGTATTACAACTCTGCAGTACAAAAGCAGATAAGAGCAAACACCTTTGTAAACATTTTTGGGTGAAATATCGTAGCGAGAGGGAAAAAAAGAATTGTAGCACAATTCTTGGAAGTTTGATATGGCTTGTGGTCTATTCTCAGTCAGACTATAGTTTAGATGCCTTGATAGCTTTGAGCCGTCAGCACGCAGCTCACTGAGCTTACAAATAGAAGCTGTTTTTGTGCTGCTGAATTCCCTCTGAGGGGATGTTTGTGAAGGTTAGACTGAGTTTTCAAAGATACCAGCTGTGATGGAACACAAAGGTCTTTGCTCTCCCAGTCATGCTTTTCCCTCAGGGTTAGATGAGCCATTAATACTAAAATACTGCTATTCCACGTTTGCGTGTCATCAGGAGATATCCTTTTAATTCCAAAGGGCTTATAAATAAAGTTTTAACTGTTGCTGTTTTAAGAGATGTTGGTGTGCGACTAGAATTCCAGTGTTTTTTATGTATCAGTACTTCACAGTAATAATCCCAAAGGACAAGAAAGGAAATCATGAATTTCTTAAAACTGCACCAGTGATTCTCCCATGCTAGCCACACAGTAAGAAGCTGTCCTAAAATAAAATTATGAGACACATCAGAGAAGCTCCAGGGAGTAATAGTGAGACAGGGTTAGGGTGCAAGCTTTGGTTCACAGCAGCCACTTTGAGGGATGAAATCTGTACAAATATTGATATTTATTAGTATCTTTGTACTGAGAAAGATAAAGAAGAAGTCAGCCAATGCAGCACACCAACAATAAACCACAGCATATCACCACCCTTTACCACTGCACAAGAGAAAATTAAAACTTGAGCTTCCTGTCACCGCAGGCTCTCGCTATGCTGTCCATACAAAGTGCCAATACTGCTGCAAGCACAGTGAGTCGCCTCACTATCTCTGAGCATCTGTGTTGACTCTTTTGCACTAAAGCATCGTAGCATATTGAGAAGCAGGTAACAGTGATCAAAATTACAGTCTGATTAAATAATATAATGAAATCTGGGCTTAAACAGTAGATTTTATGGTGAGAGTGTGTCAAGAAATTAACAACTGGGCTAAAACAATTAGCCAAAAAAAATGGATTTTCAAGTCTGACCGATTTATTATGAAGGCAATGTCATTGTTAGCTATATGCCAATTTTTGGCTTCACAATTTGTAATGACTTAGAGCTCAAAATGTAAAAAGTAAAGACACAAAGGGAGAGACACCCTTCAAACAAAACGAGTGTTAGCTTAAACCATTAGCTTAGGCTCTAGATATAGTTAAAAATATACTGATAGCGAAGAGTAAGCTACTGGATAACAGGGATTTAAAGTAGCCTAAAACAGATGGATAAATGAGTGAAAATAGGGCATTGCAATTATGAATAAATACCTGTTAGCTGGAATTAGCAGGTAGCTGTAAACTGGATAATGGTATTGGATAAAAGTAGTAACTAAATATTTGGATATTACAGGTGAAATTGCTAAAGCTAACGACAAGAGTAGGTAGTGGTTGAAGCAGGTCATAGTTGTTAAATTAGACATAAGATAAGATAAGATAACCTTTATTAGGTTATCTTATAGTTATATACATAGTAGATAAATACTTAAATGTGTAGCTTAGAGTCGTGTAGCATAGAACTGGATAAATGAAAGCTAAAGATAAAAACTAATGGTTCAAAATTTTATGGATACGCAACTGCTGAAAAAAATGGAAACATTTCTAGATGAATGGTTAGAAAAAAGTTATGGATATTTTGTGGTAAGTGTTGAAAACAGGCCTACTGGTCTAAACAGTGACAGTTAACTGATGTCTACTTATAAAACCAGTCTTATTAAACAACACCCAGTTTATGATGAAACTAAACACACACTGAATATGTGTCCTACATCAAGTAACAGCCTGTAACAAATCACAAAAGACGAGTAAAGTAGAGTGGTCACTGCTGTGTGACACAGTCCACTTGACTCTGTCTTTGTGTCTGCACTTGACTCATGGCCACAGTTACTCACATGAAGACACCAGGGGCAGAAAGCAGCTGTGCACAGTGACCCCCCACCTGTTGTGGCAATCTCGCTAATAAATCAAGGAATCTCTGTATGTGTGTTCTTCACATGGAGACAAACGTTTATTCTTTCTGCCTCAGACCTGGTGGCTGTGCAGCTCAGGCCCTGACCAAGTGCACTGTCCGGTCGGGGTACTTTGAATGAGTGGTGTTCCCATTTCACAAGGTCTCTAGTTGCTAGGTAACATCTTTGACTTCACAGATGATGTCACACTGTTCTGTGACCACTGTCACCAGTTTATGTAACATAGTTTATGAATCAACATCCTCCACTCTAACATGTACATGCTACTACACCTTAGGGAGGAGACTTGTTAAAAACAAATTAATTTAAGCATATGTAACATTTGACACTTTAATAGAGGGACCACAGCGCCAGCAGTGCTGTTATCATTTCATATGTTGCATTTTAGAAGAATTATTCAGATTATGTGTCATAAAAACAATGATTGCAGGACAACAGGGGTACCTGATACTGTGATGGTAATGTTTTGCTCGTTTGTTTTTGCTTTTTATGTCTTTTCTTCTTCTTCTTTTGCACTTGAACATGATGTAATTGATTGTGAGGACAAGCAAAGCTGCATTATTTCTGTGCAACATAAACTAATTACGGCACTACAGCTGTTTTATTACTGAATCTCGAGTCTTCCGGTTGCAGAGGAAGCCCAGGTCGCAATACAGGTTTAAGAGATGAAGTATTTCATTTATTAGGTTAAGTGTTCAACAGGCCGTGTTATAATAAGCTCACCGGGGATTTTGTGGAATCACTATCAGCAGACTTTTTTTCTGCAAGCCTCTGAGAAAACCCACAGTATGCAAATACGCACTAGACATCAGTTTCCACAGAAACCTCACCTGTTTCTCATCTTGCCGTGGGCACTAAAGCAAAAATACGACTGTTACATGAAAATGTTCATTCACGTGTTCATAGTGTGAAAACTGAAAGCACTGCCAGTGAAAGTGAAGTCTGCGTTTAATTCATTTTTGCGCAAGATGCAGTCAGTCGGCGCGCACGGCTTACCTTTCTCTCCGCAGGCTTCCTTTCCTACAAATGGCAAAATTTTGATATCCAAAGGCACTTGATGAAACGAGGCGACAGAAAAAGTCGACTTAAAAATATTACGCAAATGACGGTTTTCACTTCCCACTGAGCGACCAACTTCTTCAATTCACGCCTTAAATTTTCCGTCCAGCTGCACTTCACTTTTTTTTCTTCTTTTTGTAAAGTTGACTTTAAAGCGCAGCTCAATAATAAAAACACACCATCGAGCTCTGATCGACGTGTCTCCACTGAAAGAAAGAAGACTCCTGCTTTTGTCACTTCACAAAGATGAGATCTGCTCTTTACTCTCGCTCTGCTCCGGTCAAGTGAGTGTCTCTCGCTCTCTCTCTCTCACACACACACCCTCCATAAAACAGGCTGGCTGTACCTCAGTTTCCTCTTCGGGGTCAGACAGCTAAAAGCATGCTGTGTATACGCGATGATGGTGATGATGTCACGCGTTAAACACGGTGTGTCTGCTGTGCAACTTGAGATGCTCTGAATCAGTTAAGCCGGTTATCTTTCTAACACAGAGGGACAATTATCCGGTTAGTGCTCGGTACCAGAGCTCTGTCGCGTTTTATTACCTGGATAATGTATGTTGAGTGGAAATGTAATGTTCTAGCCCCGGGCGAGGTTCAAACCCTGCGTGACATAAACAAAGGTGCAGATTTCAGGGGGATGTGCGCTCTTTTTAAATCCCGTCGTCCGGTATGAACCGTCACCACCCCTGACTCAACTCCGTCTCGCTTTCTCGCCTTTTCTTTAAAAGTCATTCTTTTAAAAGTAGTCTTGTCCAACAGTTCTTCAGGCTTCCCGAAAGTCTCCCAAAGGGTTTCTTTGGGATATTTGCTGATTTTTCACCAACTTTCAGTCTAGTCGTTGTACCTGACATTTTATTAGAGACATTTTGTGTCTGTGTGCGTATTATGCCCCTTCACACTGACCTGTGAATCATTCAATTAAAAATACAAAGGAAAAGAAAGAAAAGGCACCTAACTCAACTGATGGAGTGTTGTGTGTGTAGACACAACAATAAGCTTTATCTACACATAACAGACAACTTGGCAAAGAATCAATTTTAAAATGTCTTTCTGTATTGTGTTACCATCTTGTTACAAAAGCACAGCATTCGCTCCAATTTCTTCATCTGAACACCAAAGACAGTCTGACAGGCATAAAATAGTGTTTGTACAGCAAGATTCTCAAAAAGATGTTTGCTAAAAACTTGGCATATCTTGATGAGACAGAAGTGTCATCAGAAATGGTGTCAATAAAGGTTAGCTGTTAGGAAGCCATTCTTAATGAAGGGAAACAGAGAGGAAAGGACGAGGAAGTTACACAAGAACAAAAGTCAGTAAGTCAGTAAGGGGTCTTATGAGTGATGAATCCAATTCTGAAGTTCTTGGTTTGTCATCAGTATGTACAGAGAGGTTGAGTGAGAGGGACAGGGAGTGTCTACAGCCATCTGTAAAAACAGTAGAGGCTCAGTGGTGTTGGCGATCTTTCCAAAATTGATGGAATTATGAAGACAGAAAAGTACTGGGTCAGATTTTGAACCACCATGTAACATCTGGAAACCATCTGATTGCCAACAACACCATTCTTGAGCGTGAATATGATCACTGCCAAAGCAATAAAAGCACACCTGGATAGACATTACTGAAGCAGTGTGGGATCATCCTGACAGAGAATGGAACAAAAGGCAGAAGAGTTCTGAATCTCTCAGTCTTTTTTATTATTGTAGGGTCTTTACCTGACAGTATAAATGGCCTTAAGGCGACTGTCTTTGTCATTTGGCACTTTAAAAACAAAGCTGAATTGAATGTCCTTGAAGAAGCCTGAAGAATTGTTCCTGAACACTTCTTACAGGAATGACAAGAAAGCTGCCTAAGATTTTCCAGGCTTGTACCAAATATTGAAACTTGAAGTTTTGCAAAATCTGTTTTCCATACTGTATTTTCGAGCATGTTTGTACATGATTCAATACATTTTTGCACCCATTTTCCTTGCAAAATCAAAAAAAAAATTGTTTGATTTGAGACTTTTTCACAGTACTATAGTGTTGTGATCAGTCAGCTGGTACCATGTGTAAGCACGTCGATGACCATGGAAGAAAATGGGAGCTAAGGTTTAGTAGTAATTTGTTTTCCAATATAGAAGTGCTGTTTATCCAGTACTTCTGAGGTAATGTAGCCTGCTTCTTGTTTTCAGGCTACTTGGTAATAGATGAGATGTACTTGACTTCCTAAGACCATCAAAGGTATGTGATAAGATAACTGGAATGTTGGGAGGTTTTATACATGAGCAATTAACTAAACATCCAGCGGGTTACACAATGAAACACATAAATCAGTCTAATACAAAACGGATAACTGGATAAGTGTTTTACTGTCATCCAGCCTTTTATCCTTAACAAGGTCGGGAGTGGGGGCGATGGGGCACCTGGAGCATATCGCAGCAGTCACAGGGCAAAAGGCAGGGTGAGAGACAACCACTTGCACTCACTCCTATGGCCAATTAACCTAACCCCACTAAATGCATGTCTTTGGTCTGTGGGAGAAGCCATAGCACCCACAGAGAACCCATGCAAACATGGGAGAACATGCCAACTACACACAGAAAGGCCTGCGCCAGTTGTTGGAGTCAAACTCAGGACCTTCTGGCTGTGAGGCAACAGAGCTAACCACCATGCCACCATCCTGCACTGTTTTGATCATTTGATCTGAAAAGAAGCCAGCGCAACAGAAGGACAAACAAGTAGTTCATATCCGTGTGTGTGTGGTGAACTATAATGAATGAGACGATCTGAAAGCCACACTGGATTATGTCCTACTTTATGTTTGTTATGTGGTACCTGATTTTTGTCCTTTAACTAAAGACATTTGCACCACAGAATGATGCAGCAAACGTATAAACTGGTGCAAGAGAAGCAGAATGCAGGAAATAAGGTTTCTGATGCTCATCATTTCCTGGGGAAGGAACATCTTCTCCACCACCCCCACCTCCCCAAGCCCAGCCCACGGCTGAAAAAGGACAACAAACATGGCTGTTCAAATGGTCCTTTATAACTACGAGAGAAAAAACAAAGCAAAACCAGAACGCTTTTTTATTTCTTACAACTGATTATCATCATAGTGTGCACTTAATACTGTAGCTTAGTCCCTTTATACACACACGCATACATACACACATTTATTCAATCAGCTTTCACTTAGCTGAGGGACTGTTTCAGCACTGCATGTAGTGTGATCAGGAAAGTAAATCCACTTCAACGACAATCTGCATCAGACTGTAAAATGTGGTATTATTATTAAAACAATACGAAAAAAGGCAACATGGAAACAAAAAGACAAATTAAAGCATGTTCAGTGAAATTCTCAGAGCATTTTCAAGTAAACAAAGAAAAATACAAGTAGCATGATGTAGTGGACCCACTAAAGACATAAAGCTCTCTTCACATCCTCTTTAAGGGCCTTTTTCTAAAGGACCAAACAACGTCGTCCATCGCGGCTGCATCATGTGGCGGTGGAATGCGCGCCCTAGCTTTTGCTGGCCGTCTGGTCTCTCCTCAGCAGGCTGGGCTCGGCGGTCATCAATCACCACACGTCAGCACACGCTGGACGTTGTAAAAAAGAAACGGTCCCAAGATCACTAAAGCGTGATCAAAACACATTCCACTTTCAGGATCGCGAGGCTTCGAATCTCCTTTGCGCCTCTCGTTCCTGTCGGGAGCAATAAAACACATGGGCCAGCGGTGGAATCAGGCAGAGCACAATGTTTTTTTAAAAGAAAACTAACAAAAGGCTGCTAATCCTCAGCGTCTCGCCATCAGCAAAGAGCCTCTGCCTTCAAAAGTCATTAAATAACTCAGTCTCACTCCATCTTGTACACAAACAGTCGATGTGACGGGCTCGTGTGCTCACTTCAGATCACTGGATGTCCACCGCTGTTTTACACACAGTAGCAACGAGCTTTTGGCAAACGGCTCGCTTCGAAATCAACACAGAAAAATGTCGTTTCTAATGCAGCTATTGATACCAGCTGGCAGCTCTACGCACCACAGTCACCTTAACCGGAGACACGAAGAGGAAAGTCCAACATCAGCTTCAAAAACAAAAAGATTCACAGCCATCGCTCATGATCAGCGTTTCTCGAGAGGCACCAACATGAAAGAGAGGGGTTTTTCCACAAAACCATGTCCGCACTGTGAAACTGGTCTGGAAATACGGCTGCAGCTTAAAAATGTCACATTTTCAGTCTGAGAAATATCTGCTGAACTATTAAGGCAGGATATTATTGTGGAATACATTAAAAAAAAAAAGCTTATCTCAGTGCAGCTATTCAAAGTGTGTGTGTTATAAATCGATAAACATGTAAGACAACGTTAGCACTGACTTCACTATAATGCACTACGCAAATAAATAGAGTGAACTTGGTATGTTGAGGCACACAGCAGTCAGACAGCGTGACAGTAATGGTGCAGACTGAAGTTAGAGTTATTACATGGCATCGTGCTCCACAGTATTTCCTTAGTAATGCTTGGTCATATTATCAACTTTATTTACACCGCAAAAGCAAAATCACCAAAACATTTTGCATATTGCAAAATGGATTACCTAATAATTTGTGTATAATTAAAATAAACGGCCTTGCAACATTTCTGGACGTTAAAGGAAGAGTTTAAAATCTTGTGTAACATATGCGTTTGGTTTCTTGCTACGAGTTTGATCTTAATATGTCTGATTCCCCCCTTAAAGGTCACACGTTGTGCACCATTCATGTGCTTATTTGATTACCTTTTGGAAGTCCAGTTCTAGCCACCTGCAGGTGCAAATATATAAATTCACCATAGACCTCGATTGTACACAGAAAGCAAACATCTGCATCGAAACATCCAGATTTTCACATCTGGGACACTCGGGGACAAAGCAATAAAGGGAGGTGCGGGTGCTTGTTGCTTTTTTTGACACATAGTTGTGCACCTTGATTTTGAACTCTTGACTCGAGGAAGGCAAGTGTTAACCACTACCATTTTCTTCTACAAGATGAAATTTAACTTAAAGGGTCACTGATTTGACACAGTACAGGAGGTCCTGTTTGCATCGCACACACAAACATCCAAGTAGTCAGAACAGAATTTCCAGGGAAAGCTCTAAAAATAGCAGCTGAAGGCAGTCTAAAGGTGCAGAAGGAGGTGACCTTGAAGGGTAAGGCGTTTGCTTTTCACAGACAGTTCACAGAACTTTTGATCACACTTTACAGATCAGAGCCAAACTGAGGTTTTCATGTCTGGTTACTGGCAAG